TGCATTGTGACACTTGTCGGAAGCTGATGCCTTTAGGGGGTTATTGGTAGTTGATTTTTACTATTATAAATAGGAGTATTAGACATAAAATTCAGTGTGTTATAATTTACTACTTGAGCAAGCCACTCCTAAATTTACTCAAAGTATCCGAGTGTAGAGAAAAAAGTATCAAAGAGAATGTGTGTGATGTAAACACACCATTTTTTACTTTGTAATGAAGTTTAATTTATCTGCTTAAATTTACAAAGTGTTTATTTGTTTTTCTACAATCTCCCCCTTCTATGTACTTTACTTTACCTTCATCCTCAATTCTTTTTTAAGACTTCTACTTCTTTCATTCTAAATTTCTATCTTCTCTTTCGTTTCAGTTGAACAAATACCTTTATGATTAAAGCCTTTTCTAAATATTGTCGAAGTGTGCAACTTACATAGATTTCAAACATAAAACCTTTAGCACATGTCCTAGGATCAATCTGATCGATCCTTTGAGTCACCAAAGTTAGATTTGGAAGATCAGCGATTGTTTTCCATTTTTCAAGGGAAACAGAGTTATATTGTTAGAGCTAACATTGCCAGCACCGTCGGTATGGTGAAATTTAGAATGTTTAATATGGAATATAAATTTAACACTAATACATTAGCAGGGCTGTTAGGATTCCTACTTGGGGAGGGTGCCATTTGTGAGGCGCCTTTAAACACTGAGTGGAAAATTGAGGCTTTCCAATTGTGGAGAGACCTGATAGGTCATGCCATTAGTTCCTTCGAGGGAAACTTCGCATCCGACATACGTAACCTGGCTATACGTGTCTTTCATCATTTGCTGGCTGATACAATCTTTGCCAGAGAAAGCTTTAACAAGTTAAATTCTAAAGAATTCATTTTTCTCCAGGATACCCTTTATCGCAGGAGATTGGATCATGTGCCTTTTATGTTGGCGCATATGTGCGCTGTTGTGAAAAAGAGAGGAACTGTGTCATTTGGAGGATTGATTACCTTCATTGCACGTGCCCTCCAACTCGACACCGAGATATCCACTTTAGAACCACTCTCACCTCGTACCATAAACTTAATATTTTTTAGAGATATGCGATTGTGCAAGGTGAGAAAGGAGGGAGGATACACCCTCGTGGTTTAAAATGTGGCTATACCGAGCGTCGCCTTACCTTGTTCCCGCCGTACCAATGTGAGACACCAAAGAAACTAGACGTATGATTTACAGGCTAACCCTATTCTCGATCCGTTGCCACCGGACGTCCCGGAGGACGAAGGTAACGAGACCGACGATGAAATGAGCGGATGAACCAATCCCTCGTTCATGATATTCCCCCTCAAGCATCACCTGCACACACTTCACCTTTTATTAATCCTTCTACAGGTGCCCCTTCTGGATTCTATATCACAGAGGAGATGTGGAGGCAGCAACAAGCTCACGGAGAGGAACGTGATGGCCTGTTCTATGCCATGTATGAGCAACAACAGGATATGATGAACTTCATGTGTGAGTCACAGCGGCAACATGAGAGATCCATGCGTACTATAATAGAGTCTCAACTCGCTGCCACATCCCTCCAGCAACGCCAGCAAGCTAGCTTCGACATCCATTACAGTCTAGTAGAAGCCACTCAAGGTTCCATACTAGTAAACCTTCATGAGCTCCGACAGGCTAATGAAGCACTAGCAGCAAGGATTGAGCGGCTTGAGCTTTCACAGAGTTCACGACACCGAAGTAGAAGTCGTTGTCCTCGACATTCAGAGTAGGGAGGAGAGGGTACCAGTGACCAGCAGTAGTCATATCCAGGTTCCACCTATCTCTTCTTCACCTTTTATTGAAACATTGAGGATAGTGTTCGATTTAAGTGTGAGAGGAGATATTTACTGTTTTTATTGTTTTTATTTCCCTTTATGTTTTTCATTTCATTTCCTTCTAGTTTTTAGCTTGTTTTTAGTTTGTTTTTAATAAATACATGTGCTTGACGAGTCGTATGTGTAGTTTGTCTATTTTCGCCCATTTCTTAAGCCATACCAAAAATTTTGAATAAGAAAACAACTTTAATTTTGAAAATTTGGGTTGTTAGACAAATTTAGGATAATTTGCAGTGACTTGGGAAAACTTTTGAAAAATCGATATCATCTTGACACCGTAAGTTTCTTAATTATAGGAATCGATCCAGATACTTATTATGCGGTGGCCTTAAAATCTCACCCTTGAACTAATCCTTAAGTAGTTTATTTTAGCTGTCAGCACCATTTTAAGTACCACTAAGTGGGCGAACCGATACAAATAGGTGAATGATCCAGTAAGAGAAAGAAAAAAATATACAAAAAGAAAGCATTTTGTAAAAAGGATCTGCCTTCTAAGCTGGATAACCCTCACCCAATTACTTAGCCCAACGGTAGCGAAACTTCAAAAAAATTGCTTATGTGTCTGTGTTAAAGAAAATCATTGAATTAGACACAATATTGAATCAGGATCACCAACAGGTTCATTCACCATGCGAGTACAAGATAACGGGTTTAATGTGATTGCGCCTGAACGAAAAAGGATAAAAGAGGGATGAGTGAGTTAGGCCTAGGTATAATAACATGATGCAGATTGGTTTGTGTAGGAAGGAAACTTATGACCGCAACCCGCGGAAAGTGTCACTACGATATCCTTGGTTCACTAGTAGTACCTATCGACGCAACCTTGATCAAACTAAAAGTCTTTATCCTGAATCGAATACTTCTGTGTTGTTGTTTCTCTTTTGTGCTCATGAGATTTTTCTTAAGGACAAGCAAATGTTTAAGTGTGGGAGAATTTGATAACACTAAAACACATTGCGTATTTGGCTCAAATTGCACATGCTTATTGTTGTTTAGTTGTTATTTTCTTGCATTATGCTTCTGTTTTGTCTTATTTTTAGGTACATTGCCTAATAAGAGCCTTCCACGAAGAAATGAAGCGAAAATAGCAGAAAATTGAGTTTTAGGGCGAAAATTACACACGCGACGTTCCACATGGCGTTGGCCATGGGGGTAGCCATGACGTGTAGGGTTTCTCCCACGTTCTAACAGTCACTTGACCACGTCCACCATCATTTGTACACATGGCGGGCGCCATGTCTAAATGGTGGGCGTCATCTGTGTATTGTGTGGTTTGGTCAAAGACGGTTAGAGCATGATGCCATGACCAGAGATTTTTCCTCCACGAGATTTCTGAAGGAGCTATGTAACTTCCAAGGCATTATTACACTATAAATAGAACCTAAATCTTTAGTTTTAGGCATCCAATCTTAGTTCTCAGCATAGGCATATATTCAGAGTTAAAGCGGTAAACTGTCACATCGAAGGGTTGTCGCACCATTGTTGTAACTGAGGTTGGAGCATCGTAGCATAGGAACTTTAATCTTGCCGTCATTTTTACTTTCAAGTCAGATTTACTTTCCAGCATTGTACCAGATTCAAGTCTTTGATTTGGAGCAGGTTTTATTTTACTCGTACTTTCATTATTTACTTTCCGCCTTACTTTAATTTGTTTAATTTCTGCACAATTTATTTATCGCTTTTTATTTCAGAGATCTGTTTCTAAGAGTGAACTTAAGTGTGACACTTTGGTTCTTACCCTTGGAAACCGACCACGCATTTATTTTTTGCACGATTTATTTATTGCTTTTTATTTTAAATATTTGTTCTCTGAGAGCGAACTTAAGTGTGACACTTTTGTTCTTACTTTTGGGAATCGATCACGCCTTTATTTTTATTCACGATTTATTTATTTCCTTTTATTTTAGAGATTTGTTTTCTAAGAGTGAACTCAAGCGTGACACTTTTGTTCATCTGAAAACCAATCACGCATTTATTTTCTAGCACGATTTACCTATCACTTTTATTTCTAAGATTCGTTTTCTGAATTGAACCTAAGAGTGACACTTTCGTTCATTTGAAAAACCAATCACGCACGTTTTATTTCCCTAAATGATTTATTCTACAAGCAAATTATGTATTATGTTTAGCACTGTCATGACCAGCTAAATCTGTTGTGCTTGGATGTGAGGACCGTCGTTTCGACGGTACTCCATATGTTGTATTTGTAGAAACACTTTAGGGGATGTTTTGGATTTTAATGCAACTTTTCTGAACTTAAATTGGTCGGCCATTACGTGAACGGGACTGTGTTTCTGTTTACGTAATAACCATAACTACGTCGGATAAAATCGAAAGTCGTTCGACACTTTAGATAAGAGTTTGTTAGTTTCTAATTGGTAAATACAGCGGAAGCGCTTTATTAATTAATTATGAAAGTTTAGTATTATTAGAAAGTGACTTTAAAACTATTTTCGGACGAGTTCAACAAAGAATGAGAGAAAATTGGAAGAACTTTTCATTGAATCTAATTTGCAAGTTAGTTTCCGTTGAGATTTATAAACGGCTAGATTCTAACAACCTTTCTAACTTACTAAACACATAACAATTGTGATACTCTACAAGAGGTGCGACTCACAATGGTGAAACTTTGGTGACTTTTACGCTAAGCTATTGATCATGGATAGCTTTAACACAAACTTCTATATTACTTCGTTCTACCTAGACAAGTTTGAAACTACACATCAATTATGTACTTCTGGGACAAGTAGCACTGCTTGTATAATGAGAATGGCTATCATAGGATAAGCATTAATATATTATACTTAAAGTGAAACTTTTAGTTCATAATTTCATAATGGATGCGAGTTCATTTCAAAACCCTCTCCAAGTATATTTCAACAATTCTGTTGAAAGAATTCTCTTATGCTGATTACTTGAAATGAAAACAAAAACATGCAAAATAGACCCTTAATTTCTTGTCAATAGGCTCGAGAATATAAAGAGCAATATAAAACCATCTCAGTTCTTCTGTACATGAAAATAGATTAAGGATTCTTAACAATCATGCCGAAATGTCTTTCAAAATTCATCCATTCAGGATTTACATGAGAAGAACATAGGCTTTCATGTCATTGGATAAAAATAATACAAACATTTTAGTTTCCACCCAGTGTTTGAACAATGGTGTTGTGCCATGGATCAGAGATGTGCTGCAACAGGTTATCAAATGGTCCTTTCCCTGTCACATTGTGCTGAATTATAAATCCCAAGAACGCCAACATCGCCAATCTCCCTGCAGCGTAAAACACGGTTAATTATCTATTGACTATGATCGATTGGTAAACCAAAAGACTTTAGAGACATTAAAAATATTTACCATTTGCAATTTCCTTCTCTTTAGCCTCCAAAGTTGGTGCGAAGTTCAAAGGATTAAAGATCCCGCCAGGGTAACCAACCTCACCCTCCGGCAAGCTGTATTGCTTAAAGATAGGATCTTGGTTAACACTGCCAGGGTTCTTAATGTCTTGCCATCTTCTAATCTCAACATAATGGAACAAAATGAACTCAATCACAAAGAGTGTTGAAGATGAAGCAAAGTATTCTGCTTTCCCTGCATCGTACCATTTTGGAACGTTGATGATTCCAATGCTTGTGAATACCTCAGGGAGTAACATTCCTGCAACACCCAACATAGCCCAACGCCCGTTCACTAGCTCGGCTTGAACAAACCACCTCAAATTCTCTGGATCCTCTGCGAGTCCCAGTGGATCAAATCCGTTGTCTCCGGGAAGACTAATAGCATCACGAAATAAACAAGTTAACAAATTAGTCCAACTATAAAGAATGTCTTCATTTTCACAAACTAAGTCTTGGATGTTCAACTCAAATTGCATGTGGCAAAAAGGGCAAATTTAATCTTCTACAACATCACAAATTGAAATCACATTTCAAAATTTCTAAAACAAAAATTCTTAGAAGTGCCTATACTAATTAGTGACAACTCATCAAACAAATATTCTTTGAACACCATCCAACAACTCTACAGCAACAACCAAGCGTAAATGGGATCAGTTACATAGATTAACTTCTGCCATAATTATCCAGTATGATGCTTCTCTCCAAATGGTTAATTTCTAGATCTCCAACTTATAATATGTAACTATAGAATATAAAGTGAGCCACCTCGAACAATATGTTGTATGAACATATATTTATATAAGTGAATCCAATATTCAACTTACAAGCATGTTTTGTATGGATGTATATACCAAAAATTTATAAGCATAGGCTTAAGGGATTGTAAGATATTATAAACATCATATTGAAGATGTGTCATATGTTCAACATATGTTAGTGTGTTGATAGAAATTGAAGATATGTATATGTGACAGTTTCATTATGCTACAAAATAGATCAAGTTCACATACCTTCCAGTGAGGTAACCTGGGGAGGCCAAGCCTGGTAACCACTCTCCTTTCTTAGCTTCAACTTTAAAAGAAGCAGAAGGTGAACAACCAACAGGCCTAAAAGCCACTTCTCTGTTCAACTTCCCGGAAGAACCACTAAGGAACCTCGATTTCAAACAACATGGCCGGAAAACCGCCGCGGAAGCTTGTGTAGTAACGGTGGCCATGATAAACCACTAGTGATCGTGGTGGTGACAAAGAAAAAAAAAGAGTGAAAATTTTTATGTCGTTGGTTTTGTTTTGAGCGTGGGTTGTTGTTTCATATGTATTTAGTTTCGGAACCATTCATGTGGTTGTGTTTTTCTGTTAAGGATCCACCGTTGGTTTGCGCGATATTTAGGACCTAACGGTGGATATGTGTTGAGGCTTATCCTTTTATCTTAATGTTATATCCACAAATCTATTTGTTCGTTGTTGTTGGCTGGGAAAAGATTCTGTGGGGTCGTGAAATGTAACGATGGATGATCGATGGGAGAGATTGGAATATCACAGTCACCCAATTATTGCTAGACATGTGGAATGCTAATGTTTTTTCGATTCTCATATATCTATGATTTTCAATTGTGTTATAATTTTAGTTATTTTTTAATGGTTTCAAAAACCACACTATTCTATTAAAAGAAAAGATAATGTTAACTTGTGTCCTTGGGTCACATGTTAAGAAAATCATTTTTAGTAAATTTGTATTGGAAAAAACAATTTAAAAATTGATTTTATATTTTAATTAAAGTTTGTACACAATTTTCAAGATGATATTTCTTAATTTAGTTCTTAACATGTGTCCTTGAGGCACAAGTTAACATTACCCTAAAAGAAAAAGAAAAATCAGGCTCAGAAGGAATTTATAAGAAATATAAATCATAATGTTCTTTTTTTTTAAGAAAACAATATATTAAAAGAGAAAAGGCGTTACAAATAAGAGACTATAAAAAAATGTATAAATTTAAAGCAAACATAAATTCAGCAGACAACTACGAATTGATTTGAGGTTTTTTAGTAAAAACAAATAAAAAATCTCCATTATTGTTTCTAAAAATACTTCCACACTCATTGGCATCAGTACTCAAACATTATGCACCGTCGCAATTACCTTTTAACCCACCTTGAATTAGGAGGCCTCCATAAAACTTCATCTATATTTGGAGTACGAGGAGGACGAATAATAACTCCAAAGGCTTTCTGTTGCACCCCAAAATTTGACCAACCGGTTTCCACATCTGCTTTATGTTTCGACGCATTTTGCATTCTCATTTGCATACCGCGTACATTGCATTTTTTTGCAGTCAGATTGACTTTATCGGGATTACAGCCTCCCCTGACGTTTCAGGCAGTTCAGGCCAATACGAGGATTTATTTTGAGAATTTGTGCTCGTCTCTGTGTTTTCAGCTCTCGCTGTTGTTTTTTAGGACATTTCGGTGTCCGGTTTTTACCGTCTATTTCGCTATGGTTGCGCAATTGTTCTCTAATCGATTTAATCGGCTTCCAGGCATTTTTAGAATTTTTCCTTTTATTTTCTAGGTTTTATTAAATAGATTTTTAATAGATTTTAGAATATTAGTTTCTTTTTATAGAATAAATAGTAAATAGAGTTAATAGGTTTTAATATAGAATTTAAATAGATTTTGGTTTAATAGATTTCTTTTACTAGATTTCATTAGAGTTTATTAGATTAGTTTTATTCATTAAAGTAGTGTTAGTTTTAATTAGGATTTATTGTGGTCTGTTAATTAAGTTAGATTAATTTTCATTTCCGTATTGATTAGCATTAACCAGCCATTAGCAATTTAATTAGAGTTAATTCATTCCGTTTTAATTGCATATCCAGTTTATTAATCAAGTCCATTAATTGTTCATTAGTCTGAGTTTTTTTTTTGGGCCAATTATCCATTCACAAAGTCCAAGTCCATTCACGCCAGGTGTCCTATAAAAACAACTGCCACGCGTTCTATCTCTGGCTTCACCCTCACATTTTCCTACACGTCATCTTTCCACTCAGATTCTCTCACCCACACTTGGCACTCTCTCTCTTTCCACCCATGCCACGCGTGCTTCATGCACGGTATCTCTCCCCACGTGTCTCTCCTCCACCACGCCTCTGCTTGCATGTGTAACAACTGGCTTCCACTCACCAACCTTCGCCGCCGGCCATGCAGCCATCGCCGGTAGGCCGCCGGAAACTGTAACTGCTCACCAGAGCCACCCTAACAGTCACCGGAAGTTCAACAACTCGCCAGAATCTTCAAGCTCACCGGAAACTGCATCATCTTCATCCCAGATTCACCGTCTTCATCACATCCTTCATCATCAATCATCACGATTTTCCAGTTCATCAACATCAAGATCATCAACGATTTTCACCGCGTTTCTCAGAACACCAATATCTTCAACGATTTGCTAGATTCTTGGTTAATCTTCATCAACTTTCCAGAAACCGTTCATCCAATAATCTCCAAGATTCATTGCGCCAAGAACTTCATGAATCATCAAAATCATCGTTCATCAACACCTTCAACGGAAGCTTCATCACAGAGCAATCTTCATTAATTCTCCAGATCGTCCTCAAACTTCATCAGAGTTCCAATGTTCATCCGTCTTCGTATGATCTTCAAACATTTTTTCCAGATTGCCAGATCCAATCTTGATCTTCATTAACATCTTCAAACATCATCAAGATCCTCTTTCGTTTCCAGAAGCTTCGTCATACGCATCGCTCGAGTCTCCCAACCATCATCATCACAGTCAGATCCAAAGTCTCTGACGAAATTCAAACATGCAACTCCTTCGATATCCTCACAAATCATCAGCGAATCTTCATCTCCTTTGAGTTTCTTCAAAGAACTCCATCAACATCTCCATCCGTGGACTTTCGTGAAAATCGGACTCCAAGAATCTTCATCACCGATTTGAATCTTCAAGAGCACACAAGCCACGGATCATTGTGTTTCCAGGTTTGTGTTTAGTTTTGATTTCATTCATTGTTTTTTTTGTAAGAGTGAAACGAAGGTTGATTTCAGATGGTGAGAGAGAGTTTGTAAGGAAGACAAAGAAGATGAGACGAGATGAGATTGAGAGATTGAGAGATTTGAGTGAGAGTTGGAACAGAGGTGAGGGAGTGAGAGAGTTAGATTGAATGAGAGAGAGACATTTGGACCGAGAGAAAAAGTGAGAAGCTGAGGCGCCGCTAAGGTTTGGAGAATGAACAGTAGTCGGGAGAATTGAAGGACTTAGGTTTTTTTTGTTGTTTTATGAGGGAATAGAGAGTAGATGAGTTAGGCATTGGGCCTCAAGCCCAACGAATCTTTTTTGACACACGCACACCCTGCGTTTTTTGTTTACTCACCCCTCCCCATTTTTTTGTTGTGCATTTTTTGTTGGGCTCTGGGCCCAATTTCCTTGGTCTTGTTACTGAAGCACTCCCCTGTACCAATTAGTACCCCCCTACATGTTTTTTTTGTTAACATTTTTGTATTACAATTTTAATTGTAATATTGGTTAGGGTAGATTTTTAGATGTTAATTCTTTTAGGGAGATTATAGTTTAATTTTTCCTTAGAATTTTATTAATTCCTAGCATTGGAGTTTAGGTATTATATTTTAGGAAATCTATAGTTTAGTATTTTCTAGGATTTATAGCATAGTTTGTATAGAAAATTATAGGTTAGAAATAAATCAAAACAAATAGAAAAATGATCATTTTTTGGTGATACTTTTTTCCCCTGGACACTTTAGGGAGTGTAGAATTTAATAGGAAAAAAATAACCAATTCATGCATTTTATTTTTTAATTGCATTTTTGTACTTTAATTGGTTTTAATTTCATTATGGTTTATGCTTGTTCTTGCTGATTTTTGTATGAGAGATTGGTGAAGATTTTTTTAGTGATTCTTTCTGGATTGTTTAGATTAGAGAAGCATGTACCCTTAGTATTTTTATCATAATTTTGTGACTAATTGTTAGGCCAGTTTGAGTGGTGAACATTATAGGTGTTAGATTTAGGTTTTCACAACAATTAGTTGTAGTTTGGAACATAGTTTGGGGACTTAATGTTTGATTTAGGTCCTGGGATTTATATGGGGTATTGATTATAGGCTTAGGTTCCCTTAGAAATTTACTTAGGATTTTATGATGAGTTTTAGCATTTTATTTGATTTTTGCAACTTGTGTGTTGATTGTGGGTTTTCCCCTTGGATGTTTGGTTTGGTTACTTTGTTTGGGCTATCTTAATTGGGCTTTGGGCTTGGGTTTTTCTTGATGGAGTTTCTAGAGGCATTGAAGATGCTTGGAGATAAAGCTTGGAGCTTGGTCATGAAGGTCTTTCCTTGTGAAGATTGCTTTTGAAGGCTTAGGGATTAGGATATGTAGGAAGAGCTTTAGAATAGACTTGTTTCTTCTTTCAAACATAGAGAGCTTCTTGTGCCTCTATTCATTCCTATTACACAAAGTCCTTTTAAAGTATTCACATCCCTCCTTTGGAGGGATGAGTGACATACTTTAGAAGTAGAACTTTGAGGATACCTGTCTCTTATAATGTTAAGTGCTTATGGGCTTCCTTTGGTTGTCACTAAGCTTCTTAACATTTCAACTTAATCTGTTAATTGATTCTCTCTTGGAGATGGAGCTTGAAGATAGGAGCTTATTTGAAACTTGAAGATTGTTGAAGATTGAAGATGGGGTCTTGCTTGAAGAAGTTGTTACTGTCAACTTTGCTGTCAGAAGCTTGCTGGAGGACTGAAGCTAGGGTTTACTGTTGCTTTTGAGTTGGAATTTTCTGTAGCTGTGGAGCTCAACTGTTTAGGTGTTGAGGAGCCTTATTTGAAGTGTGCTTTCTCTTCCCTGGAGGTTGGAGATTGAAGCTTATTGAAGTTTGAAGATGAAAGTTGTTGCTGTCAAAGCTGCTGTTTGCTGTAGGAGTTTGGTGCTGCTGCTTGGGCTGCCTCCTTTGGGTTTTGTTGGCTTGTATAGCTTGCCCCTAGGTTTGAAGTGAATGTTGATTCACTTTGCCTGTTGTTTTCCCAGGTTCGAGGTTGAGCGGGACTCCCTTGCCTTGCTTGTATTGCTGCATTGCATACATGTTTACTGTTTACCGTATATGCCTGTTTCTTTTCTGTTTATCCCCTAGGATCTCTGTTTTCCTCTGTGCAAGAGGGAAATATGACTAGACATTAGGA